ACTCATCAGAAGATTTTAATGTTTGAATTTTGCAAAGCATTCACATTATATAGCTATTTACATAATTATGCCAGTTCAGTTGTTACGCAACAACGCCTACAATGTCTACACGAAGAAATGAGTTCGTTTCTCTTGTTAAGCGAGCATTCCCCGATATTCACTTCGCCTTTGGCGACTAATTGCTAAATATACACTTGATTGCAGAAAGGTTGCAGTATACATTTATACAGATACCTAATGAGATGCAAGATATCAAATGAGACGCAGAATGTAAAACACGCTTAAATGCTATTGCTTTTAAATATTTTTTAACTTGACTTTGTGAAATGCTTATGTCTCTGATACAATAGAAGATAAATAAGACCAAATAATACCAAACAACTGAGTTACTTTTTAAGTTTTGCATCTCATTAGATATTTGTATAAATGTAATGTATACTACAACGTTTCTGCAATCGAGTGTATATATACATAAACTATATATACACCTAACCAAAAAAATTCTGCAGCTTTACATATATATATATCTTTTGTTTTTCTATTATTTCGCCTCTCGAGAACAAAAGACATATATATCTAAAGTTACAGAATTTGTTTGGTTAGGTGTATATATATATATATATATATCTTTGATTTCTCACAACATTATATAGCATTTATAATTATCTAGATGGCTTTTCTTTATTTTTTCTATTATAATTTCATCTTATAATTTTATCTTATAATTCTACAAGATAATACGAGATAATACAAGATAATTTAACTGACACATTTGTAAGCACGACATGTCTGAAAATCAGCTTGCTGAGCTATCTATCGTGGAGTTCATTGATTGATTGATTGATTAATGATTGATGATTGCGTAAAAATGTCGGCCATGGACAACTTTGTCGAAGAATTTTCCAAGAACAAAACTAGCCCCTGGGGTGGCTGGTGGTGGGTTGTGTACACGTGACAAAATTCCTAAGTGGGAGAGAAGTAAGTTTAAAAACAAAGACTCGCTGAAAGAAAACGATGTAGCACATTTAGATTTGATTTTTTCACTTCATGGTTTTCATTATGGGGACATTATCTTCATCTTGAATAAAAAAATCATTGAAGATTTTCGCCCTGATTTCACTTTCACCTTTCAGTTTATCTAAATTGGGCTCCCTGTGGGAGCTCTGCTTTTAGGCAGTGCCTAAATTTATATATTAACTTGTATCAATCAATCTCAATCCTCAATATAGGAGGCTTTTAGAAACAAAATATTTAAAAAATATTCCTAATTAATCCCTATTTGTTATTTGCTATTTTTATTTATATAATAGATTTTCACGAACGCGCGTTCTGATTGGCTGAAGAGCTATGTTTTATCAGAGTATAGAAACATAGATATGACGTCAAAACCATGTTTTCTATACAGAATTAAACATAGAAATGACGTCACAGGAATTCGTTTTCAATTTAAAGCATTTTGTCATTTTAGATTGTCTTTCCTCTAAAAAAGGAAAATACGTCGTCTTGAAGCACATTTGATTGTACTACATTTCGACGAGTAAAGCTTTCTATTACAATGATCTTATTTCTCTAAACTATAATCTTTTTGCTTGACCCTTGATGGTGTTAGAGAAGTCAAAAAATGATTTTAAGCATTTTCCATATAGTCTAAGAATGAAGAAATCTATGGTAAGAAACTTAGGCTTACTTTACAAACGAGCATCGGCAATTTTACGCTCCAGTTACGGTAAATTTTTACCGAAATTTGTTTTCCAATAGCCCGAAACTACGAGTACAAAATACTACGACAAGAGTCACAAAGTTTGCACTTATAGTTCAGGGTCAACTAAAAAGACAGTTTTCCAAGTATTGCACTGCTAGCTTTCTTCCAGTTTCGATCAAAGATCAAGATATTTTTCAGTCTCTCGGCTCCTTGTGCATTCAAAGTGTTCATAAGCTGGTTTTCTTGAGATAGAGATAGGTTGTTAAGTGCTTTGAAAACATTTATAACATTTAGTTATTTTCTTTCATTTTCGTATTGTTACTATTACATATGCATGAAAATTGTGTATAGCTAAACATGTTATAAACCACTGACCTGCCGGCATGGATTAGTTTTTACTATTTCCAGGTCAGTGTTGTATATTTTCAAATGCAATTTACTTTATTTATCTAAACTTGAACTTGACGGGAACGTCAACCAAGAACCAATTACCTGGAAAAAGGCCAATACGGCAATAGAAAAAAACCATGTTAAAAAAACTCATCAACTCGGTAATTTTTCTTCATTTTTTTCAGTTTAAACAGGAAAATTTTCTTTAAACGTCAAGTGTGACTACAATGTTCTCCAAGTATAGATAAAAATGAATTATGTATTATGAAACCAACTTTAGTGTACCGATACGGCGGCCATCTTTAATTCTATTGTTTTAGGTAAGATATTAAGGAATGCCGAGGGGCAAATATTGGAAAATTTATAGACTGCACAGCTGTCAGGGTGACTTTTTATATAACTTTACGCTTTTAAATGAAGCACATCTAAAAATCAACTGAATTTTCTGGAACTTTGAAAATTGAATATGCGAAACTCCAAAACTTATAATCATTTGAAAACGTAATTCTGTCATTATGCTTTTATAAATTTTCTGCGTGTTTGCCCTCTCGGCATCCAATAATTCAAGGCATATTTATTAAATATATTTAGGCACTGCCTAAAAGCGGAGCTCCCGATACAAAAGTCATAGGGAGCCCAATTTGAATGAATGTGGAAAATAAAATTAAAATCGGAAAAAAATTTTCATTTTTTTCATTCAATATTAAGATAATGTCTCCCATAATAAAAAAACATGCTCTGAAAACGAATCAAAATGCACTACATCGTTTTTTTGCGCGAAAATAATCTCCCGATCCCACTAAGAATTTTGTACACAACTCACCACCAACCTACCCAGGGGCTAGTTTTTTTCTTGGAAGATTCTTCGACAAAATTTTCCATGGCCGACATTTTCAAAGCTTTGAATTCCTGGTTTATTTTACTTACAAAACGAAAGATAACTACAAATAATCCAATACAATATCAGGTTTAGTGACATTTACCTCGGATGTCTTTCATTGAAATCGAAATTTTGGAGATTTCCGAACTTTTATGGACAAATCAAGACCATGAAACAGACTTGAAAACTGGTAAAAAAAGGTGAGCAAAATACATAAGCTTAGATTATCCACATCAAAGTTTTATGTTTTTACAAGAACCGTATTTTCATTCACAAAAGTCTTAACTATTTTTCGAGAAGCTTGAAAACATAAGCTTACTAGATTTTGAAAATTCAATTTT